GACAAGGTAAGTTTTTTATTTCAGAAGGTTTATTCGAAATAAAAGATACTTTTTAATAGGATACGAATAATTTTCCATATATCGCTCGTTTTCATTTTCTTAATACATGTTTTATTTACCAGTAGTTCTAACGTTAGAAGCTAATGTACAGCAATAAGTTTCTACTGTACAATAAATAAATTTATTCTGCGCGATTCTCGATAATAAAATACCACAGTAGAATCGAGGTGCAACTAAAAAACCAGTTTTCGTAAATCTGTACTTACCTAACACTGGGTAAGAATGTTGGGGAGTTGCCTTGACAATCCAAGACTTTGCACCTCATCGACACATTAGGTCTTCTCGATTGCCACGAAATATTACTGTTCTCGTTGATTTCAGCTTCTTTCAAATCGACTGCAGCCGATGATTCTTTACTTTTCGTTTTTTAATCGTCCACTTAAGGAATTTTTTTCTAAGTACGAAAATTAGTTTAAACAGGCGTTTAATTAAACGGATGAAGTCGTCAGGAAGACTGCAGGTTCCCTGGCGATACTGTCGCCTCTTACATAGTCTGCGAGTGTCCCCTTCTTCGCAAATCGAGCTCCAATATCGAAGTGGGGATCGATCTCGATTCTTCCCAATCATCAACGACGGAATTTCTAATAGATTTTACGCAGTTGTAAACTTATTAACAATGTACATGAATTAATGAAGAGTCAGTTATTATCCATACAGGAAAAACATATTCTTGGAATTTTTCTGGATCATGCACAAACATGAATCAGATTTAATTTCAGGTGATGCGATTATTTTGCAAGGAAAGATATTAAGGTTTCAAAAGAATAATATGTTTTTGTATAACGCGGTTTCGTATAACTTCGAGGGACTATAAATGTAAAATATAAAGGTTAGGATCGTAATTCTTTTTGCTTACAAAAATATTATCATTCGGATCGTATTTAGTCGTAGGATTATTATCATTCGTCCTAAAACAAACTGCTCGTTGTTTTTGAGCTTAGAAAAATTTCAGGAAGAGCTCACGTGGCTGCTGAACTAACTTTAGGGTGAAGAATGGGACACTTAATGGCCGTAAAGTGTTACTAGTCGTCGTTACCATAAATCAACAGTACATCAATCTTTTTCAGAGCAAAGTTGATGCATCCATGAAGCTATCTGCACAAGACAAATTTAATTATAGATCATTCTTCTGATTAATAATTACCTAGTGATTATTACCGAGAATTACAATTGCCGGCAACACCCAGTTCTACGACATAAATTATACATTCAAGGAAAGATAAAAAATAACGCACGTAACTTGCATTTACATGAAAACTAGAATCTGATGCAACATCGATTCTTGGTGTCATCAGATTTGTTGGTCTCAAACCACCGAAATTTTTCGAATGTCAATGAAAAAAAGCTTCGATTTCACATATTTTTATTTTGATTATTGATCTTTAATAATATGCAAATATGAGTTGTGATTAATAAAAATGTTTTCACAATAGCTGAATTTCAGGAAAGAAATTGTTGGTACAAATTTCGAATCATCGATACTATTAAAATTATGTTCTAATGATGCCCTGAATGTTAAATATAATTTATCAAAAATTATTCAATGGTAATAAAAATTGTATAAATGTGTTATTTACAGATAAATAAAATATACAATTTATAAACCATAAATAAAATTTTACTATCTGTATCTGAATCTTTTTTGAATTCAAAATGATTCATATAAATTGATAAAAATAAATTTATTAAAATTTCTAATTTTTTATATATATATAATCTATCTATCTATTTATCTATCTAGCTTCTACCGTGCTAGTTTGTTTTCCTGGATTAAGATTAATCAAACGATTTGAATTTTCTGCTAGTTCAGTGATGCTGACTCTACCGCGTTGCCTAACAAATTTTGCCACAGCCTCGAGCTCCTCCTGAGATATGTAAATGAATTTCCCTCTGTCATCAATAACTCCAGTCAAACTTCCATTTGCTTGTAACTCCTGAATTCTTTCTACTATACTTGACGCCTTTAAGCCAAAGTGTGCTGCCAAATCTTCTAGAACTACAACTTTGTTTTGCTTAATGTATTGAAGAAATTCTTGTAATAAATTTTCTTCATCTTCTTTGTCCTCCTGATCATAGCCCTCTTCTTCTACACTAAATGCTTCTTTCATTTTTAAATATTCTTCATATTCCTTCCTTTCCTTCTCTTCCCTTGCTTTTTTCTCTGCCTCTTCTTGCCTTAATTCCTCTGCTCGTTCTTTCTCAGATTGTTTATCTCTTTCCTCTTGAAGAAGTTGTTCCTTCTTTTTACGTTCTTCTCTTTCTCTTTCAGCAATTTCTCTTTGAGCTCTCTTTTCTGATTTAGCTGCCAATTTTGCTCTCTTTTTTGCACCCATTTTGAAATCAGGCGTAGTTGGCTTTTCATCTGCCTCATCATTAGCTTCATTTCCAGATCCATTGTCATCTCCCTCAATTTGTTGGCTGATAGTTGCTTGCATACGACGTCTAGCATTTCTTTGACCCGCTGCTCGTCTTATTGGCCTACCTTGTGCAACTCTTTCAGCTGGATTCGTTTGTTTTTTCTGTGCTATATCCCGAAAAAGAAATATTTAATACTTTTTTTAAATAATAAACATCCAAGGAGGTTAAATAATTGATTTAATCGATGTATTTCTATTACTAGAAGCATTTAAATATTAATCCAATATTTATAAAAATTATCAAAACATCTGTTTCAAAACAAATTTAAAGGTTAGGAATATATTTTAGTAATGATATGAAAAAGTTTTGTATAGAGACGTACCGGATTTTTGACTCAAAAACACTGTAATACCGATAATAAGTGCAATAATTAAGACAGCGAGAGAAATTAATAAAGTAACGTCCATTTTTTGTTTTTTTTATTTTCCCAAGTCTTTTTGGTTTGATTATCGTGAAAGTAGATAACGCACACTAGCGCCACGTACGTGAACTTCACCGTTGTTTTCGAAGGTGACGTGTGCTCTATTCAATAGCCCATAGAATTTCGTTCACAGTTTTAAGTTTTGCCGTGCTGCTAAAAAGCACCGCATATAAAAAATCATGTTAAGACACAGCTGTGTATTTCTCATATTCTTGTGTATTTTCGAATATGGTACAGGACTTTATTTTCATATTGCTGAGACCGAGCGAAAATGTTTCATTGAAGAAATTCCAGATGAAACAACTGTTTTAGGTACGTCAATATATATGTCAATAGAAATATAGTTAATTATTCGTTTTCATTGTAACTTTCATTAGAACTGTTTTTCTTGCAGTAAATTACAAAGTTGAATTATATGATCCAAGAACTGGCGGATTTGCTCCTAGTAGTGCTGGTATGGGAATGCATGTAGAGGTTAGAGATCCAGATGATAAAATGATTCTCTCTAGAGTATACAGTTCAGAAGGAAAAATTTCATTCACTTCTCATGTGCCTGGTGAACATGTAATTTGTTTGTACTCTAACAGTAGTTCTTGGTTCAGCGGTGCTCAATTGGTAAGATATCTATGTAATAATGTAGAATAATAATTGTTTAAAGTGTTCAATGTAAATAAATATATTTCATCATACAGAGAGTACACTTAGATATCCAAGTTGGTGAACATGCTATTGATTATGCTAATACAGCTCAAAAGGAAAAATTCACTGAGTTACAGATGAGAATACGTCAGCTTCTTGATCATGTAGAACAAATAACAAAGGAACAAAATTATCAAAGGGTAATTGATTTGTTTAACTTTTAATTATTCTGTTAGAAAGATTTGGAATATATTTTTACATTGTCTGTTCACAGTACCGGGAAGAACGTTTTAGGCAAACATCTGAAAGCACACACCGCCGTGTATTTTGGTGGTCTTTTGCCCAATCTGTAATTTTATTGATCATGGGTGCATGGCAAATGAGACATCTGAAGAGTTTCTTTGAAGCAAAAAAACTAGTATAAGATCAAAATTAATTAGTCATTTTACAAAAATTTTTTTTTTACAATCATGAGAAATTCTCACTGTAATTTATTTAAAAAAAAAATGAGTGCAAAGTAGAGAATGTAACATAATTCGCTTTCTATCATTTGTATGTACTATATCACAGTTTAAATGTATCTATAATTGTCTATAGTTAATGCATCTGTAAGAAATCTGGTTTTGAACATAATAAAACGCGATGTATGGTGTGAATTTTGATTAAAATAAAATATTAATTTTCAAAAAAAGTTTTGTTGTTTTTTCTTTTGAAAAATGAAATAAAAATGGCTGTAATGTAATATTGAAAGGTAGCCACTAAATCAGACATACATATGAACTCGCCTTTAATCACAGTAGCTCTGACTCGTGTAATATGCTGCATAGCGTATGATTATAAAAGTATACATGTGTTGCAATGTAAGAAAAATTTTGTAAAAATAGTTTCGATAATTATAAATAATAGTACATCTATAATAGAAGATCTGATAAAAAAAGAAGAAAAATTATCATGTTTTCGTTGCGACAAATATTTCAACGTGGAATGCAACTGGCTCTCACGAGAGAACCTATAAATTTACATCAGATTCCAATTTCAAAAGAAAAATTTACTGTCAGTCCACACGACCAAATTTTTATTCGGATGAAGACGAATTTTAGCGAATTACCGGAAGAGAACAAGGAAGAAGATTCTACGAAACACATTCTTGGCAAGATCTGTGGGAAATTAAAAGTGATGTTTACATGTAAAAAGTGTAATTATCGAAATGGAAAAATTATATCAAAACTAGCGTACGAAAAGGGACTAGTTATAATCCGCTGCGATTGCTGCAAAAACAATCATTTAATCGCCGACAATCTTGGATGGTTCGAAGAATTAAAAAACAAGGGAAACATTGAGAAACTTATGGCGGAAAAAGGAGAGACTGTTCGAAAAATTCAAAATGATGTTGAAGGATATATTGAGGCTGTTGCCAAAGAGGAATTTGATTTGATTCGACATAATAAAGAAAGAGAGCAACGTTTAATTGAAGAACAAAATAAAACACAGGATCAAAATAAAAAGATTAAATCCATGGAAGAATCGTAGAAAAAGTTGTCTAGGTTAGGTTTTTATTAATTTTTATTTTGATGAAATAGCGATGAAAAAATATTTCAACGAATGTAAATACGTCTAAATTTATTGTGGAATATGTATTTTTTACTTTATGTATTCTTTATACTATGTTAAACTTATAATTATGTATTTATATGTAAAAAAAGAATATCTGAAGTTTGGTTGATATAGAAAGACAAATATTTTTTGATTTTTTACGTTATAATCATTAGAAAAAACAGTACCGTGCGTATGCATACTATATGTAAGTAATACTTCTAATATATACAGTTTGGTAAAAAATTATATAAAATTTGGTAAAAAATATATTGAATAAAATTCCTCAGATCTCATATAAAGTTTATAAAGTTTAGAAGACTTGCCTTTTTATTCAATATTTCAAATGTGCATGTAAATAAGAACGTGTTTGTTATAAGTTTAGTGGCAATAATTTTTAATTTCATTTATAGAAATGACAGATCTTGGCACATGCAGAAACTATATGGCAAGTTTTTAGTTGAGAATATATCAAATATCAATTATGTACATATACATAATATATTTTGTTATAAAAATGTCTTTTTTAAAAATATGTGGAACATAATTAAATCTTTTATAAATGTATATATAATACATGTGTATATATATGTATAAAATATATAGTATTAAAAACAAAAGGAATGACTTATTGCTTTTCCCTTATAATGCATATATAAATTCTATATTTCAAAAAATTTCTATTGTTATAAACTTTAAATATCTCTGAAGGCACAACTTCTGTTGAACTTGCAACAGTATTATAATAAGAGACTATGAATAATTAATTAACATTATTAATATTAGTAATATTAAAAATCTCTAAGTACACCAAATGAATGGAATGACATGCAAATTTAATATTAAAATTTTGTTGGACTTTGTCATTAAATTATATTCTGTGATATAAGGCACTATGTCTTTTTATAGCAATCAGTCATTTGCATTGAATATTTTCAGAAATATAATATCGATAAACTAATATTTAATATTCCTACACAATTGACAGTAATAAAGGAGACTAGTGTTTCTTAAACTAACCTTTATGCAGAACAACTGTCATCTCACTTCTGCATTTTTACAATAATATTATAAAGTATTAACATATTTAACTTTTTCATTATTCAGCGCAATAAAAATGAACTTACCCTAGTCATATTGTAGACTAGTATTTTCTTATCATTTTTGAGAATTAAGAATCTCTGGAGTAGAAATAATATATTTGTGTAGTTGCTATGAAATGAAATTATTTTGAATCTCTTATACCCTTTTTGGTTTTGATACAATTGCATATTCGCTATTATTAAAGACTTTATGCTTTGGACCCATGTTACTGCTTGTAGATGCAGTATCAGAGTGATTTGTTTTCTTTCTAATAACACCATATCCAAGATGGCTATCATCTGCTAATCTAACAGCAGACATATCCTCGACGATATCGTAATTAGACCATGTAGTATTGGTATCAGCAGCGGAATTTAAAGATACATTTGAATGTGAATTTTGAGAGGTGCTGCTAAAGTTTCCAAATTTAAATGTGCCTTTTTGATTAATTTTAGTCGCCGAGCCGAAATGCTCCAACTTATCATAATCAGATTCATCATTGGGTATATGATTCGATATATGAGTCGAAGTCACTGGACTATCCGTAATACTAGACTTACTCTTTGACGAGCTTTGAGACGATATAATAGGCATCATCGTTTCGTACTGAAAATCATCCTCATTTTCTTTGTCTTTATCATTATGCAATAACGAGTTTGATCTTTCTGTGTGATGTATATTGTCAATACCATGAGTTTTCCATGCATCATTTCTTACTTCTACTAGATCGTAAGGATGTTTCTCTTCGTCATCTAATATAGAACTTCCTATCGTTTTTTGAGACATTTCTGGCGAATTATCTCGATTTAATGCTTTATATTCTCCACAAGCAGATAAGTCTGATAATTCAGCATCCACGTTTTTCTTGTCCAACAAGCTTGTAAAAACATATTTTCGTGGTGGTTTCGCAGGTTTCGATTTACCGATACACAAAGATGGCTTAGAAGATGAACTGGTATCTAAATTAGATGAAGAAGTCGACTGTTTCTGTGAATTTTGTGGTGAAAAATCAATATCAATTAAATTGGCAGAACTATTTGGGGAAGGGGGTAAGGCCGCTCTAGACCCAGCCTCCATTGATAATGCTGCATGATATTGAGTGTCATTACAGTCAATATTTGAGTTATTTTCTTCATTCATTAACTTCTTCATTGACCTCATCTTCGAGTACATGCAACGAAAAATTTCTTGTTGACTACTGTGCTCCAAGCGGAAAGAACCTTCTCCAGATTCACATTTTCGTCCTGCTTCAAAAATAAATTTTCCATCTTTGTAACCATATCTCCTGATATAGCGATATGGCCAAGTGAATAGAATTACATCTCCATCCATTAATTTAATATCAACTGCAGCTACTACAAGTGTATAGTTTCTAGTTTCTAGACCACATCGTTTAGACGCATCTGTCTCTACAACTTTTACAGAAAATACTCCTTCTCCACTGGTACAGTATAAATCGTTGTTTTCCTCTATTGTCTGGTTAGACACACTATCTTTAAATGCTACTAACTGAAATGCAGTAATCCAATGACTCATATCAGATTCCGAATAACATCCAAAGTAGTGAATTCCTGACTTAGTCACAACCTGCGTGCAACAAAAATAAAGAAATGAATAGACATTCCATTGTCAAATCTCTCATTAAATATTTACTTACAGTAAATACATGTGATTGATTGCTAGGTGCGATTTTAATGCAAGCATCTAATGTGATGATACGAGGAGCATGTAACTGTAATATAGCTTCTTCTTGATTATCGTAAATTTCTACTCGTTTAATCCCATAGTTACTAGTTCTGAACAGCTGACAGAATCTTTTGTGCCATGATTTCTGTAAAAGAAGCGAACAGCATAAATCTCTCTAAATATAAATACTTTGATTTTTGAAATCAATGAAATGAAAAGAAATAGATTTCGTGTATTTGAAAAATCGTGTTGGCATGAATCAAGAATGACGTCTGCCAAGTTCGATTCAGCGTCGTTGCATATGCCTGAAATGTCTGAAGCCATATCGTGCGAATTTTAGGTTAATCCATCAGCGATGACAATCACCGATAACAAATGGTTAATCATTCAATATATTCATTTGCTCAAAGGATCTAAGTAAATAAATTCATTGGAAAAATCTATTTGCCAATTAATCGCGAGAACTTGAAATACACGTTTATCTGTGGTAACATTAACCAACCTTGAGCTGGCCTAACATTCCCTGCGGTGGTAACAGCAGGATCCCTTGTAACAGAGGTTCCTCGGGCTCCATCGTTTTTGCGAAACATCAGCCGCCTTAGTAGGATCGCCAGGAATGTGCCTTTGTTTCTCATATAATTTCGAAAAAGTGAATTTTTCCACTTTCACTCCCACTTTTCCCCGTCCGTGTTATTCCTCTCACTGGTTCGCCTCTGCTTTCGAATGGTGCTCTATCGTTTGCGATTAGTCTAACAGTTTTTTCGGACACATTCAACCCATCATGATGTACGGTGCTTGACATTTCACAAAAGCTTTGAGCCCGACGTTTTAACGTCGACTAGATTTCCCGAGGAGAAAAGAGATTCGTTCGTTCCTATGTGTATGTGTTACGAATACGTTGATGGGATATATACGTACACAGAACGTACTACTCTTGTGCACAGTTCTCCCCGATGCATTCAGAGCCAACTGTCGAGTAATAGAGGCATCGTACGTCCTCCGACCGTACGATGTCGCCCGAATTGTCACGAACGGACGTAGAAGCGCGGACTATTCCTCAGATAACTCCTCTTCGTTTCTCTCTCTCTCTCTCTCTCTCTCTCTCTCTCTCTCT